TAATAATAATAATAATAAACAACTGCATTTACATAGCGAATAACTACAATCTACAGCATGTTCTACGCGCTTCACAACTATTTAATTTCTTCTGACACCTTTCTCAGAATCGCCTCCAACATCCGCCACAACAGCAGGGCTGACCTTGAGAGTCAAGGTGAGTCCAGGTCACGTGACGAGGAGGACGAGGGCGTGGCTTCAGGCGATGAGGTGTTCGACACCAGTGTGCTCCATGCAGCAGACGCGGATAGCCCCGCCCACTTTTCTCTCCCGCCCGTGTTCAGCAAGGCGGGGCCTACAAGAGCCACGCCCAGGACCAAGCGGGTGGTGCCTATGGTGAGTCAACAGCTAATAGAATATAGACTTTCTGGGTAAGTGAACAGCCAACAGAATTGGTGAGTGAATGGTCAATAGAATTTTTTGGTGAGTGAATAACCAATACAGTATAAACTTTCTTGGTAAATGAACATCCAATAGAATTTAAACTTTCTTGGTGAGTGAATGGTCAATAGAATATAAAAAAACAACTTTGTCGGTGAGTGAATATTCAGTAGAATTTAAACGTTCTTGGTGAGTGAACTGCCAATAGAATTTAAACTTTCTTGGAGAGCGCATAACCCAGACAATTTGAACTTTCCGGGTGAGTAAATAGCCAATAGAAAGCAAGTTCAACCCTTGCTTAAACGATGAGGCTGCATTAAAAATCTACATGGACATTAAAAATCAGGTAAAACTTTGTTCTAAAAAATTGATTTTGGAGGCAGCGTGTTGAGAGACATCTGTGTCATGAAGCTATGTTGTGTTATTTGCTAAGCAGCATAATGGGGTAGCTATTTCGGCATCATGGTAAAGTATGGGTTCTCTGCCTAGCCAAAGATCGTACATAACAAGATAGTTTACTCCTTTCTTTGAGCCAATTAAAAAAGTTTCCTCAAAATCCGGAAGCGCCATCTTCGACAAAGTGCAGATTTTGCTGACACAGTTACCATACTTGTGTGAAAAACAATAGAAGCGGAACCAACAGACTGTGCTATTCCTATTCTTCTTCTAGAGAAACGAAAGAGAGCTTCAAAACAAAAACTGCAGCGTCATCTGATTTCCGCGCACACTTTTATTTTAGCCGAGTGAACTATCTTGTTGTTATGTACGATCTATGGCCGAGCTCTGTCTATTCAAGTTATTCTCATCATCATCATCATCCGGTGCCTTGCCGACTGGCGTGGGCGATCATGAACCTCTACTTCACTCTGTCTTGCGTTGCAGCGATGGTGTCTGTTGTTCTTGCTGCTCCTAGCCAAGTTGTCATCTTGTCCAGTATCTTTTCCCTCTGTCTGCCCCTGCCTCTCTTTCCATCAAACTCACCTGTTGTTACAATATTCTCCACTGCTTCTTTCCGCATTGAGTGTCCGAAGAAATTTCAAGTAATTCTAGTATTGATTAAAGTTCGACCCCGTCTTTTGATTGTTATTTTCATCCTCTCAGGTCAGCGAAAACACATTTGTGACGTCAAATTGCAAACCGTCTTTCGATGACGAAGACGACGGATCGGACAATGACGCCACAAACAGGACGGGTAGCGGTGACGTAAACAGCCGTGACGCCAGAGGGACACCAGAGCCATCCAGCCGCAAGTTCTTGACCTCGAGGTCAAGGTCATCAGGCGAGAAGGTCACCAGGCTGCCGGAGGTCAGACGTGGGTGCAGCCTAGTGGGTCAAGTATTGGAGGAAGACGATGTTGATGAGGATGATGATGGTTTGGAGGACGAAAAGGAGGAGAATTTCGATGATGGTGATGATGGTGATGATAATGAGGGCAAGGCTGACGTCAGCCACAGACATGTAAGTATGCAGGCTGCGTCATATCGCTACCTTAGAATTACAAAGCTCTATCTGAAATTTTTGGCCGTTTTGATTTACTAAGCCCATGAGGTCAGAAAACAAATGCTCCATCTACTTTATCAAAATCGTAAGAATATAGAGTCATTATCAAGATAATTATTCAGGACATGTTGGGAAACAGTATTTTTTTCTGTCAAATTTGTCAAAACTAGGCACTGAGCAGATAGAACCCTGTAATTTTTAGGTACTGATATGTGATATTACGTTTTGTTATCTAAGGAAGTTTTGGTTGCGGTCTATTTTTAAGTGTATGTATGTATGTATGTATGTATGTATGTATGTATGTATGTATGTATGTATGTATGTATGTATGTATGTATGTATGTATGTATGTATGTATGTATGTATGTATGTATGTATGTATGTGTGTATGTGTGTGTGTGTGTGTGTGCGTGTGTGCGTGTGTGCGTGTGTGCGTGTGTGCGTGTGCGTGTGCGTGTGCGTGTGCGTGTGCGTGTGCGTGTGCGTGTGCGTGTGCGTGTGCGTGTGCGTGTGCGTGTGCGTG